TTATTCTTCCATCACTGGAGAATTATGTATTTTTACATTTCATCACAAATAAGGATATGGCAAACATTGGGTTTAAATGTGATCTTAGAACAATTCTCTGATTATTCCCTTAGGATGTTTTCCAATAAATGAATTACTAATCAAAGAATCTGAATGTTTTTAAAGGCTCTTCATGGGGTCAAATTGCTTTTCTGGTGGCTTTACCACTCCTCCCTATGGTGCGAGGAGACCTTCTCAACATGGTCTCGTAAGTACTGAGGATGAATATTAAAGCAAAAACAAAAACAAAACCCTTACTAATTTGGTAAGTAAAAAAATCAATTGTTTCCACTTGGATTATTTTATTGAATTTCAATTTCTCACTAGCCACTTGTAATTCCCTTATTTCACTTACTGTGAATTGTTATACCCTTTGTTAATTTCACTTTTGGGCATCTTAATGCTTTTTAGAAATATATTAGTATAAGGGGGTGGAACGGCAATGGGAAGGAAAGACCACTCACTGAAGGGTACAGGGTTTCTTTGTGGATAATGAAAATGTTCTAAAACTGGGTGTGATTGCTATACTAAAAACCATTGAATTGTAAACTTTAAATGGATGAGTTGTATGGTATATGAATTATATCTCAATAAGGCTGTTTAAATAGAGGCATAATTTCCATATTAAAGTATGTAGCCTCTCTCTTTCAAACTTTGTCAGCAAATGCTTCAATTCTGATTGCCTTTTGCTTTCTCATATTCGGAAGATACATACACTTGGTTAAATCTATAATCCATTCCTTAATGAATCCTCCCAGTGCTTTTATTTGGAAAATTCCATCCCATGCAGAGATAGTTGCAACATGTTGTTCTAGTTTATTGTCATTCTTAATCAATCTGTATTTTGGTATAGATTATGAGGCTATAATCTAATGTCCTTCAGATAGGTACTTTCTAAACCAGCCTTTCCTTTAGTGTATGTAAAAGAGCATCTACTTCTATGTCATTGCTAAACTGGTCTTGAGTTCAAGTGTAAATAGTACACTTTTCATATGTTTTAACTTTAAAACATGGCTTCATATCTATTAGAAAACTCTATTACTTTCCTCTTTCAAAGTATTCCTAGCTAACCTTGCACTTTTTCTTTCACATGAAATTTAGAACAATTTTTTATCAACCCTTTGAAAATATGATTGAACTTACATTTAACAAATGTACTGATCTGGGAAGAAGAGGCATGTATAGCGTATTTGGTAAAAGCTAACCAGCACATGTATTTTTCCATCTATATGGGTCTTTTTGTCCCACAAACACCTTCAGTTTGTCTATACGTTTACAGAGCTTGCCATGAACAACAGTAATGCATTCCCATCATTCGTAAAACGTCCTTTGCTTGAATATGGAAAAATGATTTTTTTGAATATGGAGGTATTTGCTCATTTCACAAAAATTCTAAAACAAGATTCCTGGGCTTTCTACTTGGACAGTTGTATCATCTGCAGTAATAAAAAGTCTTTTCTTTCCCAATAGTTATAATTCATTTCTAGTTTGGGTCTTATTACATCAAAAAATATTAAATCAGCACTCTAATGACAAGCCCTGAAAACTTTAACAAAGCACATACTAAAAATTAAATCTTTGACAAATGGACTCATGGAGTGTGAAATAAAGAAAAGCTGGCCACTATACTGGGGATCTCCAAAAGTATTAAGGCCTAAATTTTGAAGGTTTCATTAACTCTGGAGTCTCAAATGGTCACCCATGAAAAACTAAAAACCGTCTCTCAGTTAAGTAAAAGGCTGAACAGTTTGTATCCGCATTCCTGTTAAAAGATAAGCAAAATGTTTATTTTTCTCTTAATTTCCTTCTGGTCAGATGCTCGCAAGGATGTGTATTGCCCCCAACTTCACTTTACATCTTATGCATACCCCTCTGAAGTTCTCTCTCTCTTGGCTATCTCTTTGAGGATATATGACTTGGGCTCTTTAGAACAAATCTCCCACCTCACCCATAGAAGTAGTACCTTCCCAGGTCTAGGTCCAAATGCTGGCTCAAATTAAACTGTTATTTACAAGTGCTTTTAATGAATTTTTTTTGTTGACAAAAAGATATGTATATAAAGCTATCAAGCTTGAGAAGGATCTGAGGTTTATCAGGTTTGTCACTTTCTAGAATCTGTGTCATCTAAAAGGGACTTAAAGCACTTCCAAAAGGGTTTAAGAGATCAATGAGAGGCCATTTACAGAAAGCTCTCAGTATTTGGAGGGCAGGTGTGAGGTGAGCCTTTTTCCCTCAGCTGTTCCCCCACATGCACACCTCCGCAAGAAACAGATCCTGTTAGTTTTGTGGCCATTGAGCTGGAACTGACTGGAAAACTTCTCCCTCAGGAGACACAAAGCTGAAGCTAGTAATGCCCTAGAATGTAATACTGGCTATTAAGTTAGTCTTCAAAAGCTCCCCCTCTAAGTCTTTTCATACAATCTGAGTTAAATTTTTCTGCTTTGGCTACATTCTGACATTTCTGCCTGTAGTAGTAATCCTGTATTTTAACCACTACTCACACACCACACTTGATTGCAAAGTACCACATCAACTACGAGATTTAATACTTAAACGCTGGTAGCTCAGGAAAAAAATAATAATGTGGGGACAAGACATGGTTTCTGAGTGGTTGATTTTAATGGTGATATGACTAGTTACATATGCATTCAGGCACACCCACATTCAAAAGACCAAACCTACAGAAGCCAGATCACCATGAAAACGTTGCATTTATTTTATATTTAATATGAGAAATGATTTTTGTTTTTCTAAGCCAACTGAAAAAGTCCAGCTCAATTGACGCTACAGATGAAATGAATTAAAACACGGTTTCCTCCCCCAAATAACTACAAAAGAAAATCTACTTGTTACCTCATTTAAGTGAATTGTACTTGATGAATGACACAAATACATGTTGAGACAATAATGCCTCACACTTGCAAGACCGAGCAGCTGTTTACCACTGGTCTGGGAAAAGCCTAGGTAATTTGCTTATAAAAGAAATGTTTTTTTGTTTACTCTTGTTCTTAATAGTATTGGAATCTGATGCAGTACTTCATTAACTAGAGTAATCCTTCCATAAAAAAATTGCTGTTTATGTAAATCTAAGGATTTGTGAACAATTTCTATTAATTCCCTACAAAAACCCCTAAATGGCAGTAAATAGAAATTAGTGTTTAGCAGGTGATATGTATGAAGCAACTTTGTTAATTTCCATCTTTCCCAAAGAACATGGGCTTCCTTGTGAAACCATGTAATTCCTTAAATTGCTTATCCGAGTAATATCAATTTCATTTGCTTTAAAAATTATGCTGAGAAGTATAATAAAAGTCATCATATATAATCCCTGTAACAGACATTAACAATAGGGTAATGTTTAGACACCTCTCAGTAAACGCCATTCTAGAAGATATGGTGCCAGTTACTTCCAAGATGTGGTGAGTCCAGTTTTACTGTGGGGGTTGGGAACATGTACTGAAAAGCCTTGTTTTTATGTCTATATATAGTGGTGAAAAATTCTTCAAAACCTGCCAACTTGAATGTAAATCAGATGCTGTCGCACTACAATTACAATGCTGAGATGAATGATAACTGGATAGTTGTTTTTTTTCTTTAATTTTCAATTTTGCTAAGTTCAAAAATTCATACATATTAAAGAAAACAGGGCATGATGTTAACAACCAGTGATTCCAGGTGAGGGTTATGTGGTGTTCACTGTACTATCGTTTTTAACTTTCAGTGTAGATCTGTGAATTTTCAAAACAATGAAAAAATGCACAAAACAGAACATCATGAATGAAGTAAAAATACAAGACTTAGAGACAAAGTATGTATCAGTGATTATAACTAGTTTTAGAGTAAAAAGTGCCTTATCTTATAGACAAGTCTTTCTGCTTAGAAGAGCATGGGAGAAACATTACACATACATTAAAAGAACAAATTGGTTTAGAAGGCAATAGACAGAATATTTTACATATAATGTTCTCACTGACATCTTTTGAGTTTTTAAAGCAAGTATGTTTTTCTTGGTCCAACACTGGTTGTCATATAAAATCATGCAAAACACAGCAATACACTGATGTGCACATTTACAAAAAAAGACAAAGGCTTAAAAAAATGTGCAACCTTTGTCCCAGAGGATCCGTGTAACAAAGCTCTCCAGAGAATGAAAATGTTTTCTAAAAAAATCTTTTCTCAAGTTGAATGCCTTAAAAATGTCTGACATGAATTTCTCACGTACCATATAAGTTGGCTCTATTTTTAAAAATAAAGTACACAGTTTTGATTCTTGTTTAAAGTCTCAGATGAATGATAAAGCTCCACATTTCCTGTTAGATCTTTGGTGAACAGTATCAGTTTAGCAGAAGAGCAAGGTTTTGTTTTTGTTTCTTAATCTTCTTTTACTTTGAGATAGGAGACAGCACAAGAGTAACCTCAAATCACTTTTGTGAAAACGTACAGTGAAAAATCATACAGTATAAGAAATACTAATATTGAAACAATCTACCCCAAATCTAATGTTCATTCCCTTAAGGTTTGCCGGGCTAAGCATGTCATGCAGAACAACACACTTCCTCCTTCCTCAAAGGCCCTGAGAGAGAAGGAAGTACAATCCGAGGGTAAAGGAACCAATGGCAGGTAACATGAGTAAGGGCAGCAGGCGCCAGGTCCTTTCCAATGGAGACACAGGGACGTTAGGGTGCAAGACTATGGGAAGTTGGACACAAGCAGACCCAAAAAGCGACATTCGTAATTTCTGGGGATAATGCTGATTGCTGGTTTTAATCATGGACCTCAGAAGTCATCTAAGTATGACTTTTCTTCCCTGCCCACACCCCCATACCTATACTTCATCCTGTCTCAGCTCTCTAGGCACAACACAGTTTTGAACTGCGCAGGTTCACTTGTACGTGTTGGGGTTTTTTCCCCAATAAACATATTGGAAAATTTTTTGGAGATCTCTGACAATTTGAAAAACATCTTTTCTATAGCTTTATTATAAGAACAGAGTATACAAAACATGTAACATACAGAAACATGTTAATACCTGTGTTATCAAAGATTTCTGGTCACAGTAGGCTATAGTAGTAAAGTTTTGGGGGAGTCAAAAGTTTTATGTTGATCTTTACCTGTGCAGGGGGGTAGGTGTCCCTAATACCTGCATGGTTCAAGGGTCAATAGTGCTGTCAGTCGGATCCCACAAGAGAACCGGGCAGTAATACTCAGCACTATGAAAACAAGTTTTACATAGTTTGATAGTAGAGTCTAGGGTGACTGAGAGGAGGAGAAGAGAAACAAATACTTGTAAAACCTAAGTGTTACTCTGTAGAAACAAAAATAAACTCTATAAACAAAAATGTTTTTAATTTTTTTAATAATTGATAGCTTTTCTAATAATCTAAGATGATTCACAGAATCAACTAAACTAGAAACTATTTCCTGTTGTTTTCTTTAAAAAACGCATGTAAATTATTAGAAGCAAGAATTAGAAATAGTCCTGTTCACTCAATCCTGCTTTTGCGAGCTCCCTGAGATGGCATACATGGACACGCTACCCAGCACAACGTACAGCAGGACGTAAATTACACACAAGGATCATGGAGAGCAAAGCAGAATTTCTATTTCAACAAATATAACCTACAAGATAAATTATATCCTCATGATTGGTTGTTGAGACAGATTTATCCAAATCAGGAAAACCATTATACTTAAAGCTCTCCAAGTCATTTTGGCACAGGTTAAATCTTATCATTTCAGTAAGTCCCTGAGCTTGTTTCACAGGCTGCTTTTTGTGTTTGGCCTCTTGTCCTCCCACCTGGGCCACCTCTTCCTAGAAGACCTTGCCACCCACTTTGGCCTCACATTAACTTTAGGTAAACGTTTAGCACTGTAACTTTTCTAAGTGACTGTGCTCTGCCAAACCATGTAGCGTCTCTGTAGAGTCTCTTCCCCAAAGGGCACTCCCTGCAGTTTTCCTGGTGTTTATTAACAGGGTAGAAGAATCAGATGGGGTATGACTCAGGCATCCTTATTATTTCTAAACTGCCCACAGCAAATGGTCAGTGTTTTAACAGGTCCAAGGCTTTATGCCTCAGATGCTCATCCAAACAGTGGATGGCAAAGAGGTCGATATCTGTGTCAAACTTATTGGCAAACAAGTGGTGTGTATGAAGAATCCAGTTCAAGTCACCTGCTCCAAAAATGCACACAGAGCGCACGTGGACTCCGCTGCAGGGGGGGTAGGGGGCGCCCTTGGAAATGTCACCTTCAAAGTACTGCCACTTGACAAATCTAGCAATCGCATGCATGTCAGACATGTCATACTTAGAGCTCAAGGACAGTGAGCCTGGGACTTCAGGGATCCTTTGAATAGTGGCCCAGAGATACTCATCTGGGCTGTATGTGTCTTTTGCCCACTCCATAAACTTCTGGATTTTTTTGTTCTTGAGCACATACCCTACATAGTTCCTAGTGACTACAAAATAGGCACTGCCTGAAAAGAGAGGCGTTTCAAGAGGGGGGTGCATTTTGTCAGTCCCCGTGTTGGTCAGCTTTCCGTCCACAACTGTATAATGCTTTTTCCACCTTTCTTTTTTATTGGATGGCATTTTCTCAGTTTCTAGATTGTTTTGGCCCATTAATGACTTGAGCTTCCTGACAATTTCCAGGTTGGTTTTAATAGGAAAATCCATACCGCAAAGATTGATCAAGTACTTCCAGTCTGCACTCATTCTATAGAGGTCCTGCATACAGTTGAGGTCAGCCTGAACCCGACTCCATGATGCGTACACCACACTCTCCAGCTGACTGGCCACAAAGATGTTACTGAAACAGGATGCAATGCCAATCACTGCAGCCAAAAAGGAATCCTCTGATTTTTTGTCCACGTGAATGCAATAGAAATTCTGAGGCATATAGATGGCCCTCAGGAGCCTGTCAAACATTTCAATTTTGTGATGAACCACTATAGAATATGCTATTGGAAACTCTGCCTCTTCTTTACTAAGGGGCTCTACGATATATTTGCGCCTCTTGATGAAAGAACTACAATCACTTGTCATGTTTATATAATCATATGTTGTCCACCGAGAGCGCTTTCTGAATTCCACTGTTAGAATCTCAAGCTTTACCTTTTGGATTTCACCTATATCACCCTGTAAAACTTTGGTGCAATTAATATTACTACTGGGATTCTCTCCAACGAGCTCCAAATGTCTAACGCTTATGAATTCGGGCTTTTGATGAATTCTTAAAACAGAGAAGGTGACTAGGGAAAAAACAAGAAGCAAGAAGTAGTATTTAGTGCGATAAGAAAAAAGTCTCCTTCGCAGCAACTTCCTCAGCATTTCAAACAACAATCAGGGTTTTCCTTTATTAAGGGCAGGTCCCAGGCTTCAAGCAGTAATGATTCGCCTTGTTTTTTGGGTAAGACTGGTCAGTTTGCATTTATCAGAAGTGCAAAGGCATCTTGAAATGGAGAAGAGCACTAAAACAAAAATAGAAAAGACACATATAATATATATATTTATATTATATATATATAAATATAGTCCTACATGACATCTCTATTCAAAGACTGTCTTCTTTGCCACGAGTAGTGTTACAGGAAATTGGCATCTCTAGTATTACTGTCAGATTCCTAAACAAAACAAAACAAAAATGTTCAAAAAGCCAAGTACAAGGATGTACTAGAACATCCCAACAATGAACATTTCACCTCTCAATTACACTGAGATACAAAACACAGATGAAGACCTAGGCTATAATTATTGAACTAGTGAGGTTTTTACCCTGTGCCAGTTCTTGTCTTGAAATCATTACTTATCGGGTTCCTCCTGACACAGAGATTAATGTCCATCAATTGGCATCAGCAGCCTCAGATATCTGGAAGAGATCAGATCCATTCTGTTCTTTGCCAATTAAGGATTGCAGCTGCACAGAAGGAGGAGCTCAGAAATGGCCATGACGTTTAAGAATCTTTGAAAGAAAAGCGGATCAACTAAACTTCAAACTAGTTCAAAGAGACTCGGCTGAAATCAGACCAGATTTGGACCTGTTTTGGATTGATCCCAGTTCAGTTCCACAAGAGGCATCACAGGAAGAGAAGTCATGCATTCTGAAAGGGAGACCCAGCCTAGTATTTCCTACATTAATTATAACAGGTTATAATAATTAAGCCTTATAGAAAAACAACACTTATTTACAAATTATACATTATGACAGACTTTTTGTTTATATTCTAATTTCAGGAGACCAACCCACTTTTATTACATAAAATGTTTACAAATATTCAAATATTGTCTTGTTTTCAAAAATCAATTTTATAACGTGGCAAGTGGTTCTATAACTAGGTCCTGCTGTGCCAACAAAGAAAGTCACATACCATCAAATAAATGTCTCCAGACAGACTGTATTACAGAGAGTTTGATTAGTTTTGAACACCAGAATTAATACTAGAACTTGTAAATACTTACTTAGGAAATAAATTGCCAATATTAACAACAGATTAAATGATCGACCATAACCAGTATAGGATAATGTTATGAGAAGTACTTGGGCTTTTTACCATGTAGAATTAAGGAGAGTCTGGATCATTTAGTTCTCTCACTCCAGGTAACACCCTGTGCCTATGTAGAGTGCTTCTCATGCCACCAGGGTTCTTAAATATACCAAGCATCCAGCAATGGTGTTGTATCCCATGAAGCTTTTTAAAGCCTGTGAAATGAAAAGGGAAATGTGTGAAGGAATATAATGCACATTTGAGTATATACACACTCAGAAAGCATGCTGGTGAACTAATCCTACATATTCACTCATTTTCTCAAAATTATGGTTGGTTGATTTCTTTTAAAATTTACTTCTCTTTGGTCTTAACTTATTTTTCTAATGCTGTGTTTGTGGATTGCTAAAGGTCTGAAAACATCCTGCAATTTAGGTTGAGGTCTTTCAAAGAAAACTCAAGTAGCACATCCCAAATTGCAAGACCAAGAAGAGCTTAATGGTCCAAAATGATTGGAAAATCCAATATACCCTATCCCCACTGTGAAGATTCCCAATGCTCACTGGCTCACTAAGACAATCCTGCAATTGAATTAGCAGCATATCTCTTCTTCTTAAATTACCTTGTCTACCACCCCAAACCTCTATTAGAAAGCAAACATTAGGAGAGTCTGCTAAAATACAGTTAGCCTCTCAACCATTAAAACACCAGATCATAAAGAAAATTACGCCCTTAAGCAATGCCTGCCCCTTAAGGAAATATGTCTAATTATTAGATGACTTATAAGCTAACTGAAGAGATTTAAGTGTCCTCACACAATAAAGAATTCAGACTTTAGGAAATTAACCCAAGAAAGTCACTAACCAAACAAAGAGCCACAACAAACCTTGGGGAAGGCAGGTACACAGGTCTAATTTCCAGAGTTCAGACATGATAAAACATTCACTTTCAACAAGAAAATTACAAGACATGTAAAAAAAACACTAAAGTCTCACCCACAAAAAAAGTAGTCAATAAAAACTGTCTATGAGGAAGCCAGGTGTTAGACTTAACTAAACAAAGACTTTAAGTCAGCTAATATAAATATGTTCAAAGAACTGAAGAACTAAAAGAAAGTATGCAAATGACATTTAACCAAATTGAGAATGTCAATGAAGAGATAGAAATTATAAAAAAGAACCAGCAGAAATCTGGAGTTGAAAGTGCAATGACTGAATTTAAAAAATGACAAGAGGGGCTCAAGAGCAGGATTGAACTGACAGAAGAAAGAATCCGTGGAATTGAGGACAAGTCAAGTGAGAGTGTTCAGTCTGAGGAACAAAAGGAAAATGAACAGAGCCTCAAAGACCTGTTAGACACCATTAAGCATATCAACAAATGCATAATAGGAGTTGTAGAAAGAAAGGAGTGGGGAGGGAAGGAGCTGGGAGGACTGCATGTATGAGCAAGGAAGGTGGAAAAAATACTTAAGCAACAGCTGAAAACTTACCAAATTTGAATTTTCAAAATTAATCTGCACATCCAAGAGGTCCAATGAGCTCCAAGTATGCAAAATGGAAGTTTGGCAGTTTTTTACAAAGCTAAACATAAGCTAACCAACTCAGCAATCATGCTAGGCATTTACCCAAATTGAAAACGTATGTCCACATAAAAACCTGCATATGAATGTTTATAGCAGCTTTATTCACAACTGCCAAAAACTGGAAGCAGTCAAGATGTCCTTCGATTGGTGAATGGATAAACAAATTGCGGTACATCCATAACACTGAATATTGTGCAGTGATAAAAAGGAGTTATGAAGCCATGAAAAGACATATTGTTAAGTGAAAGAAGCCAGTCTTGGAAGTCTGTATGATTTCAACTACATGATAATATTCTGGAAAAGGTAAAACTATAGAGACAATAAAAAGATCAGTATTTACCAGGGGATTGGGGAAAGGAGGAACAGATGAGCAGGTAGAGAACAGAACATTTTTAGGGTGGTGAAACTATTCTGTATGATAGTGTCATACTATTTACATGATATTATGCATAGATCTGTACAACACAAAGAATGACTCCTCTTAATTACAATTCAATTACTAATGGTGATGTCACCATTAGGAGTTTTATGGTTTCAGGCCTTCTATTTAGGTCTTCAATTCACTTTGAGTTCATTTTTGTATATGGTATGTAAGACATGATCCAGTTTCATTCTTTGCAGGTAGCTGTCCAGTTTTCCCAGCACCATTTTTTGAAGAGACTGTTTTCAAGAGAGAACAAGAAAAATACAAGTCCAAAACACACACCATGTTTTCTCACACAGAGTCTACTACAGAACTTGGCAATTAGCTTAACTAGTGTCCTAGAGAAGGTCCCTCAGTGGAACACTGCTGCCTTTCCTGAAAGAGAAGACTTTCTTGTGTACCTCACCATGGATTTTTTTTTAAGTAGAAAGACATCCTTAGAAGACATGGTGGAAGAAAAGAAAGAAAACCAGTACCTATAGGCAATGGTTCTTAATGCACTGCTTTTTGAAATTAAAACTAAGAAACACAGAAATATTAAGTTCTAAAAATACTGAAAGGAAACTCTGGTCTTTTGTAGTGATGGTAATAAGGACAATTAGTCAAGGAAAAGAAGCATCAAATATGGTCATTAGAAGTATTCCAGCATAAAAAATGAACAACTTTAACCAGTCAGAATCAAGTGCAGCTGTTTACTTACTGGAACGGGAGGGCAGACAAAATGACCTGAGAGAAGAGGCAGCAAGTAAAAATTTGAAAAGCACATGGATGAAAGGTAACGGATTAAGCAGACATAAGAATCCAGGCTGACAGCGGAGAGAGCTCTGTTTATGCTACAGTATCCTCAAAAGGTTCAAGGAAATGGTGGCACAGATACCAGTGAGGGATGAGTGTTAAAAACAAGAAAAAGAAGAAAAAAAAAAAGTATTGACTGCCAGCTGTTTTCACAGCAATTGGCCTTCCACCCTGAAACCTGGCAAAGACCCAAAGTGAGTCCCTGCAGAAGTTCTCCAGACTGGGGCACACCAGGCATCACGGAGAGCTGGGCTCACAGCTAGGCAACAGTAGAACTAAGTGAGCCCAAGGACAAGGAATAGTGAGGTCTCATTCTCTACTCCCAGCTATCAGCTCCCAGAAATTTAGCAGCCAAACCAACACAGGAGTTTATTTACTAGGAAATGCAACCAGGCCAAGACTTAAATATGCTGCTTACCCCAAATATTCAAAGGCAATAAACTGTGCAAAGGGGAGAAGAAAACTATAATATCTTCAGAGAGATAAGAAAAGCTATAGCATTCAATCAATCAGTAAGTGCGGCAGATTATAATTGTCTGAAAACAGACAAAACAAAACTCTCCCCCCATATGCTCTTTTGCAACATGAACTTGCCACCCCAAATCAAGAAGTAGTCAAAATTCCCTTCCCCGTGAATCTGGGGACACTTACATTTACACGGACCAGGAGTTTGTCAGATTTGTCACTATGTGGCCACTCAGGCTAGGTCATGTAAAACCACACAGTTCCTCCCTGGCTGTTGTGGCAAATTTGCTCTTCAAAAGCTTCTGTTTAGAACCAGCTTACATGTTGTAAGAAGCCACATGGAGAGGCCATGCACAGGTACCCAAGTCAACAGTCCCAGCTGAACCCAGTCTTCAATTCATCCCAGCCCAGATGCCACACATGTGAGTAAAGAAGCTACCAGGTGACTCCAGCCCATAGCCACGAAGGTCTCATCTGAATTCCTGACCCACAGAATTTTGAGCAAAAATAAAATGGATATGTTTGTTACTACATTTGGGGCAGTTTGCCTCACAGTAATGACTAGAACAAACAGGAAACAGAATAAACAGAACACCTAGCAAATAAAAAGATAGTTCTTAAAAATTAACGAGATGGTAGGAAAAATTGAAAAACTCAATAGAAGCATTGGAAAATAAAGTTGAGGAAAACTCTCAGGCAGATAGGCAAGTAGGCAAACTGACTTATGGAAAAATTAGGGAAAAAATACAGTAATTTAGAGAACCAGACCAGATCTACCATCTGAATACAAGGATCTCCAGAAAGAGAAAACAGAAAAAAATGGAAGGAAGTCGTCAATTAAACAATTCAATAGGTTTTCTCAAAGTGAAGGAATGGTTTCCAGGCTGAGAAGTCTCTTGGAATATCAGCACAATGGATGAAAACTGACCCACAACAAGGCTCATTCGTTATTGACTCAATGTCTAAATATTGGGAAAAAGAGTATTATATTACATAGAGAAAAAAAAAGAGTATCACATTATCACATAAGTTTCCATTGAGTAGGGGAAAAAAGCCACGTGAAAAGGGTTCGGCAGCAGAGAATCTTCACATTTCATAAAAACCAACCACAGAATCCAGATAATGGAGCAATGCCTTTGAGGGAGTAGGGAATAATATATATTTTATTATGAATTAACATTACATAACACTCAGAACTGCAAGTAGAAAGATTTATGTGAACAGACATTTGTACATACCACTAAGAAAAGTTCAGATGTTCCTGTTCAGCCTATAATTATACCTGGGACTCCTAGATAAGGAGAAAGATAAGGGCTCTGCACTGGCAAACCTTTGTTAAGGTTAAACCTGGTCCATGTAACTGTCAACTGTAATAGAAAGGGGTAGAATTCAAAACGGTGACATCTTTTCTTAACAGTTTCTACCAAAGTAATTCTGGTTTCAGTCCAGACCTATAGGTAACATAGATAACCTATTGCACCATTTTTTAAAGTACTGGAAATATTCTTAAAAAATACATATGCATGCATGCACAAATACAAGGATATGCACACATCGGTGTGTCTGCACAGGTATGCATAAACAATAGCTGGGCAGATAAATCAGGGTCCAAAACATATTGCCTTTCTGCAGCAGAAAGCATGTTCTATATTAGTTCCCCTGAATACCGCCCCCCTTCCAGAGCTCAATCTCGGACTCTCCAAGGAGTTCTGTAGCCCAGAGGCTGCTGTGACTGGTGCCCAAATGAGGCAGGTAACTCAGAGGATGGTGACTGAAGCAAGGGTACACAAACGGCACCCCGCAGCAGGCCATGGGAAAGAACAGGAAGCAGATAAGATTCTAAGGCCAGCTGTTGCCATTCAGGGTGGGGTCCTTTCCGCCATCTGTGCCTCCCCTCCTTGGCCTCCCTCATCTGGGGGGCCCTGGTCTCTGCCCCCACCCACAATCTT